CTCGGGAAAGGCCAGCTTTCGGGCCCTGGCTTCTTCTGCTTTGGCATTCTCGATTTCAGCCAGTATATCAAAATCCTGAGCATGTACTCCCTCGAGTCCTTGCCACCTTACATGTCCACCATGCTCTTGGCTTGCGCCTAGATGGCCTCGACGTCGACCTTGAATTGGGCCACTTTAGCATCGACTTTGGTATTGGCCACGGTCACCTCAGATTTGGCCGCCTCGAGTTCATTAGCCAATTTTGCCTTATCGGAAATAGCCAAGTCCAATTGGGATTGAAGCTCCTTGATTTTCTTGACCTGCACCAAGGCCTTCTCTTTTGCATTTCGGAGCTGGGTCTCAGCCGACTCTAGTTGTGCTTGGACAGCGTCCTTTTTCGAGGCTATGATGTCCATATTTTTCTTGAACTCCTCAGCCTCAATCTGAATTATATCTACCCGTGCCTAAAGATGCACGATATGTTCAAGCCTCTACCGAACCTGCAGGATCGGATCGTTAGTCACTATCTTCAATTCGTCTTCACTATCGTGAATCACTCGAAATACCTGCTCGGCCATCTCGACATGCTCACTCCGAGCCACTTCTAACTCGGCCAGAAGCTTCTCACTCAGAAGCTTGTAAGTATCCCTATTTTCCGTAAGCTCCCAACCTCAATTTTGTGCTGGGTTAACTCCTCCCAGTTTCGGAGGAAAGCCTCATGATGCAATGCTTGGGAAAGCCATGTTTAGATTAGACAAGAATTGAAGAGAGTACGATCTTAACTCTTAGGGGGCGGATTTGTGGTAAGGATAGGAATATACCTAGTCACCGTGCTTAATTAAATATCATAATCTTAATGTGTTCTTGATAGATTGATTCCATAGGAATATATGCGTTAATCTATTTTGAATAGGCGGGTAGTACTTCGGGAGAAGGCTATGAGAACAATTGTTCGATTAATTAGCAATCATGAGTGAATTGTATGAAAGGGAGAGTTAACTAGAAAATAATAGGATTGGTGAATCGATCACAACCCTGGAATATTTGTATATACTGAATACACCACAATTATTTTGCTACTTGACAATTTAGTTATTAATTAGAATTATAGTTTAGTATAAGCACATCCTTGAATTCGATTTTGGCTTGACTGAATAACAATCTTGGTAAATTTAGTGGGTAGTTGATACAAGTCTCTGTGGGTTCGACACTCGACTTATCATTTTATTACTTGTACGACCACGTATACTTGAATATTGACTACTTCCTAGTTTTTGCTTTAATTGTTTATTTCGTCAAGTCTAACGTTACTTAATTGTTGCTCTGTTCTCAGGAACTTAGATTGAATGCGTAGGGTCAAAAGCCAGGACATACTTCAAGGCTTTGACCCTGAACCTGAGAGAACATTTCATAGGAGGTTGTGGTAAGCAAGGGATACAAATAATCTTCAGGCACTCGTTCAATTTCCTGTGAACATGGAAGAGGAGCAACACATGGTTGTTCAGGAGATGGCGATGCCTAGCGTTGCTAATGTCACTTCCAACATTGTGAAGCCTAGAATCAGTGGGCACTTTGAGCTGAAATAGAGCATGATCCAGCTACTTCATGTGAATGGGCAGTTTATGGGTCTTCCACATGAGGATCCACAATAGCATATCCTGAACTTTTTGGAGATTAGTGATACTTACATCACTAACGGGGTCACTCCAGACTATGTGAGGCTCACACTTTTCCATTCTCTCTGTTGTGCGATCAAAGCGATGGCTGAAGGCAGAACCAGCTAATTCTATTACATCATGGAATGATCTGGCAAGGAAATTTCTAGCAAGGTTCTTCCCTTCAGGCAAAACTGTAAAGATTAGAAGTGAGATAGTCGCCTTCAAACAGAAAGCGGGGGAGTCTCTATACTCAGCTTGGGAGAGGTTCAAGGGGCTACTTAGAGATTTTCCTCATCATAATCAAACAAACAAAGTGTTAGCTCACACTTTCATAGAAGGGCTACATCCCGAGACAAAAATTATGGTAGATGCTGCAGATGGAGGTCGAGTGTTGGAGAAAAGCTTTGACGAGATATATGCATTATTGAACAAATTATCCAAAAGTTCCGGATTGGCAAGGATAAATGGGCAGACACACGGTGCAAAAATCAATAGGGGTTCTCGAGTTAGATGTCGTCTCGGCATTATCAGCGCCGATTTCTACACTGACCAACTAAGTCAATCAGATGACCTTGGTTATCAACAAGCAACAAGCTCAACCAATGCAGCAGGTTCAAGAGTTTTGTGAAGTATGTGGGAGAGGGTCACACGAGCGACTTATGCCTAGTTAATCCAGAGTCTGTCTGCTTTGTGGGTAATACAAATAGGGGCTAGAAAAACCAATGTGGGAACACTTATAATCCCAACTGGAGGAACCACCCAAACTTCTCTTGGGGTGGAAACCAAGATGCTTGAAATCAATGCAGACCACAAACACCTCAACAACAATATAGACCACCTCAGGCTGAACAACAGGTAAATTCAACAAGTCACGTTGAGGACATGGTGAAGAAATTAATGGCTGACCAGCAACCCCACACCGCAGAGATGATAAAGAAAGTGATGGTTGACCAGGAGATGATAAAGAAAGTGATGGTTGACCAGCAGGCCCAAGCCGCATCGATGAGAAATTTGGAGTGCCAAATGGGATAACTTTCCAGTGCCCAACATACTCGACCAGTTGGAGCTCTTCCAAGTGACACTGAGGCTAATCCTAAGGCATCTATTAATGTTGTCTCATTGAGGAATGTGAGACAATTAGAAGAAGTCCAGTCGAAAAAGAGAAAACAAGTGACCTTTAATGAGAAGCCGGCCACTATAGAGTCAGAATCAGAGAAATCAAAGGAGTTTAAGAAGCCAGCTGAAGAGGTGGTGGCTAAGCAACCTCCACCATTAGTTGCGAGGCCACCACCTCCGTTCCCTCAAAGGTTGCAGAAAGTGAAGGATTATGCCGCATATAAAATGTTTCTTGATATTTTGAAGTAGGTGCAAATAAATATTCTACTGGTAGACATCCTGCAAGAAGTTCCCAAATATGCAAAATACATAAAGGACATAGTGGCAAATAAAAGGAGGATCACTGAATTCGAGACTGTGTCACTCACTGAGGAATGTAGCTCTAGAATTCAAAGTAAGCTACCTCAGAAATTGAAGGATCCAGGGAGTTTCACTATCCAAATCTCGATTAGTAAGCATGCAGTTGGGCGAGCTTTGTGTGATTTTGGAGTAAGCATCAATATGATGCCGCTATCTGTGTTCAGACAGTTGGGTTTGGGTGAGCCGCGCCCAAAAACGGTAATCTTACAGTTGGCTGATCGCTCCCTTGCTCATCCAGAAGGAGTGATTGAAGATGTGTTAGTTCAAGTGTGTTCTTTCATATTGCCTTCTAATTTCATTATCTTGGACTACGAGCCTGATCAGGAAGTTCCATTTATTTTGAGGCGTCCATTCTTAGCCACAGGTCAAGTTATTGATGTATGCGAAGGAAAGATGACAATGAGAGTAGGTGATCAAGTGGAGGTATTTAATGTGTACAAAGCACTCAGATTGCCAGCCCACTATGAAGAGTTATCCATGATTTCTTTAGTGGAATGCAATGCTATGTCATTGGTACCTTATATGAGTCCCATAGATCCTCTTGAGCGAGCTTTGATTGGGAATGAAGAAGACATTGAAGATAAGATGATGGGCAAAATTGAACAAGTACTCGATACATCATGCAATTACGTCCATGGGTTTGGGAAGTTTGAGGAGTTGGGCAGGCCTGTCACTCTGACCCTTCCTAAGCCATCTATTGAGGAAGCTCCAAAGCTAGAATTAAAGCCCCTTCCAACACATATGCACTATGCTTATTTAGGAAACTCTGAAACTTTGCCAGTAATTATCTCGTCCAGCCTGACTAATGTACTAGAAGAAAAATTGCCCAGAGTACTTCGCGAGCATTAAAAGGATATAGGGTGGAAAATTGCAGACATCAAAGGAACTAGTCCATCGTTTTGCATGCATAAAATTTTTCTAGAATATGGACACCGCCCTAGTGTTGAGTAGTAGAGGAGATTAAATCCTATCATGAAGGAAGTCGTGAAAAGGAAGTAATTAAGTGGCTCGATGCAGGTATCATCTTTCCTATCTCTAACAGTAATTGGGTAAGCCAAGTACAATGTGTTCCTAAAAAGGGAGGGATGAATGTGGTCGAGAATGAAAATAATGAGCTAATTCCTACCCGCACTATGACGGAGTGGAGAGTTTGCATTTATTACGAAAAGCTCGACAAAGCAACCCGTAAGGACCACTTCCCACTTCGATTCATTGACCAAATGTTGGACAGACTGGTGGGGCATGATTATTATTGCTTCCTTGATGGTTATTCGGGGTACAACCAGATCATCATGCCCAGAAGATCAGGAGAAGACCACTTTTACTTGTCTTTATGGCACTTTCGCCTTCAAGCGAATGTAGTTTAGTCTTTGTAATGCACCAGCTACTTTCCAGAGATGCATGCTGGCTATTTTCACCGATATGGTGGAAAAATTTGTGGAAGTTTTTATGGATGATTTTTCAATCTTTGGGTCTTCTTATGATGATTGTTTGAAGAATTTGAGCAAGGTGTTGGCCCGTTGTGAAGAAACAAATCTGGTATTGAATTGGGAACAATGCCATTTTATGGTGCAGGAAGGCATTGCGTTGGGTCACAGAGTGTCTAGGAACGACATTGAAGTTGATAAGGCGAAGGTGGAGGCGATTGAAAAATTAAATCCACCCATTTCTGTGAAGAGCGTTCGGAGTTTCTTGGGACACGTAGGATTCTGTCGACGCTTTATTAATGATTTCTCTGAAATTGCTACTCCTTTGTGCAGGTTGCTTGAAAAACATGTGACTTTCGATTTTGACGACGCCAACCTAAAAACATTTTAAGAGCTCAAAAAGAAGCTGGTGGTTGCCCCCATTATCGCCGCATCGGATTGGTCCTTACCATTTGAACTTATGTGTGATGCAAGTGACCATGTTATTTGGGCAGTGCTAGGCCAGAGGAAGGACAAAATATTTTATTCCATTTACTATGCGAGTAAGACTCTTGATGATACGCAACTGAATAACCCCACCACTGAAAAGGAGTTGTTCGCTGTGGTGTGGGCCTTTGAGAAATTTCAAGCATACTTGGCGGGAACAAAAGTCATAGTCCATACCGATCATGCAGCAATCGGGTATCTATTCACAAAGAAAGAATCTAAAGCTAGATTGGTGCGCTGGGTCTTGTTATTGCAGGAATTTGATGTGGAAATACAAGATCGAAAGGGCACAAAGAACCAAGTAGCTGACCATCTATCAAGGCTGGAAAATCACAACCACGTGGAGGAGGGTGACCAAATTAAAGAAGTATTTCCTGATGAGCAACCTTTTGCTATCACCCAAGGCCTTCCCCTATGGTATGCGAACTATGTGAATTATCTGGTGAACGGAGTACTTCCTTTTGAAATTAAATCTGAAGCTAGAAAGAGGTTTCTACATGATGTGAACTTCTACTATTGGGATGGGCCATATTTGTACAAGCAGTGTGCTGACCAAATGATTAGGAGATGCATACCTGAAAAGGAGGCCGAACTAGTCTTGTATGATTGTCATGCATCACCGTATGGAGGCCATCATGGAGGTGATAGAACAGCTGTAAGGGTATTATAGTCCGGTTTATTTTGGCCAACTTTATTCAAGGATGCCCATGCATTTGTTAAGAAGTGTGACTAGTGTCAGAGAACAGGAACAATCACATGGAGGCATGAGATGCCTTTAAATAACATCCTGGAGGTCAAGATTTTTGATGTGCGGGGGATAGATTTTATGGGACCATCTCCATTGTCCAGAGGAAACAAATACATTTTTGTAGCAGTTGACTACGTGTCAAAATGGGTAGAGGCGATCGCATTACCAACAAATGATGCCATGGTGGTAGCCGCGTTCATGAAAAAGAATGTATTTTCGAGATTCGGGACTCCACGTGCTTTGATTAGTGATGAAGGGACACACTTTCGCAATCGGTTATTGAATAACCTTCTAGCTAAATATGGAGTCCGCCATAGAGTTGCGATGACATATCATCCTCAAACTAGTGGACAAGTGGAGGTGTCTAATAGAGAAATAAAGCAAATCTTAGAGAAGATGGTGAGTGTGAATAGAAAAGATTGGGCTGCAAAGTTAGATGATGCCTTGTGAGCATATAGAACTGCATACAAAACGCCAATTGGGGCGTTGCCGTATAGGCTAGTTTATGGTAAGGCATGTCACTTGCCTTTTGAACTTGAACACAAAGTATATTGGGCCATTAAGAAGTTAAATATGGACCTTGAAGCTGCGGGCGAGAAAATACTCTTGCAGTTGAATGAGTTAGATGAGTTCTGGTATCACGACCCAAACCCCGCACTGGTCGTGATGGCGCCTCTCGAGAAGACGAGGCCAGCCAACTAACCCAACTCGTCTTTTCCAAAAATAATTTAAACTTGAATAACAACCAAAATGTGACTTAATAAAATTAATTAGCGGAATTACAACCCCACACAACCCTAATCGGGGTGTCACAAGTCACGAGCATCTATCGGAATGTAAATCCACTACAAGTCTCTAAAATACAAAACTGAAATAACGAACAAAAGAGAGGAAAATGGTGCTGCGAACGCTGGCAGTCACCTCCTTAACTCATATAACTCTGCCTCTGATCAGCCAAAACCTGCTACCGGGTGAATAGATACCTGCATCTGCACACGAGGTGCAGGGAGTAAAGTGAGTACTCCAACTCAGTGAGCAATAAGGGTAAATAACAACTGAGCAGTAAGAAATCACGTAAAGCAAACCATCATGCTATATAGGAGCAGTGTAAAACCCTTTGAGAAAAAAATAGTGAAGCTGTGAAATCTTTAGGAATATCTTAATCAGTTTAAAACCTCTTTTGCAAATGACTTTTTCAACAGTATGCAAACGAATGCAATTCAAATAGTGCAGATAAGCACAGAAGTCCGCCCCTCGGGCACAACACTCACTCAACAGGTAATGACAGGCAATCAGGTAGATGTCCCGTGAAGTAACACAAATAACAGATAATGGCAAACAAATGAAATAAAGTAAACACATAGAACAGTACTAGTACCGCTACGGCGTGCAGCCCGATCCGTTTATCGTCGACGGCGCTCACTGGGGGTATGCAGACTCCGGGAGGGGCCCCTTACGGCCCAAGTGCAATAATAAGCCATCTCGTGGCATCAAGTAGGCCCTCAACCTCATATCAATATCAATATCATACCGCTGCGGCGTGCAGCCCATCCCATACTCAGTCCAAAATCACATAAGCCCCTCTGGCACAATCATATAGAAATATTCAGCCCAAACTTCATTAAAAATATTAGTTAAGTTTCAAGTTTAAGAAAAGGTGGCTGAGTTTGCAAAACAGTATTAAATACTAGGACTGAGTTCAATGATATGTAAATGTGGTAAGAAACCAGTAATAACAATCCCTGAAAGAATTCAATCAATTGGCACGAAGCCCAAATATAGCAATCAGCTAAATTAAAATGATAATAAGTGAATTTCAGTCAAATACGCAGTATATTCATCTACCGGGACGGACCAGGTCACAATCCCCAACGGTGCTCTACCCCACGCTTGCTACCCGGCGTGCAAGTCACCTCAATATAGCACTACGATGTGCAAATACGGGATTTCAAAACCCTCAAAATATCATTTACAATCATTACTCACTTCGAACCGGCGAAATCTCTAGCTCGCGACGCCTTTGCCCCTCAAATCGGCCTCCACGTGCGTTGAATCTGACCAAAACCACAACGAATACGTCACAATATGCCAATGGAACAATACCCAATCAAAAACGATCGAAAAATAGCGAAAATCTCGAAATTAGCAAAACTCGAGCCTCGGGCCCACTTCTCGAAAATCAGAAAATTTAACATCAACGGACTCCTTATCTCGCCACGAGTCTATACATATAAAGATTACCAAAATCGGAGTCCAAATGACCCCTCAAATCCCAATTTGAAATATTAAAACTCAAGCCCTAGTTCTTCCCCTTTTTGCTAAGTTTCCATGGATTTCAAGGTTAATTTCACAATAAAATCGTGTTTTTAGTTCATAGGGCTTACCTCCAATCAATCCCAGTCGAAATCCTCTTCAATTCCCGTCCAAAAGCTCTCAAGGATGTTCAAAAATGGTGAAAATAGGGCTTAGCTCGCGGATGAAATATTTATTAAACCCTTCTGTCCAGCACTGGAATTCCTTCTTCGCGAACGCGGTCAAACCCACGCGTTCGCGATGCACAACTTTTCTTGACCCAAAAATAACATTTCGCGAACGCAACACCTTACCCGCGAACGCGATGCTCTGACTCTTAAACCTACGCGAATGCGAAGCACAACTACTCCTGGACCCAAAGCCTTATACGCGATTGCGAACATTCACCTGCGAACGCGAAGCACAAGCTGCTCACCTTCCGCGAACGCGAGTCTTTAGACGCGAACATGAAGCACAAACTCAGGCCAACCCAAATTCCTTCTACGCGATCGCGAGGTACCTCACGCGATCGCGAAGACTAATTCTTCTGCAACAGCTGATGATCAATTTCTGCAACATTTTTCAACTTCAAACTTCCCGTTAGCCATCCGAAATCACCCGGAGGCCCCCGGGACCTCAACCAAAAGCACCAACACCTCTTATAACATCATTCAAACTTGTTCCAATCATCAAACGCCTCAAACAACACCAAAATCATCAAATTACATTGAATTCAAGCCTAAGTTCTCCTAAAACTTCCGAAACACGCATTTGATCAAAAACCCAACCAAATCACCTCCGAATGACCTGAAATTTTGCACACACATCCCAAATCACATAACGAAGCTACAGCAACTTTCGGAATTCCATTCCGACCCTCGGATCAAAATCTCACCTATCAACCGGAATTCGCCAAAATACTAACTTCGCCAATTCAAGCCTAATTCTACACCGGACCCCCAAAACCACTTCCGATCACACTCCTAAGTCACAAATCACCTAGCGAAGCTACCTAAATCATAAAAACTCCGATCCGAGCTCATATACATATAAGTCAACTCTTGGTCAAACCTTTCAAATTCAAAGCTTTCAACTGAAACTGTTCTTTCAAATTCATTCTTAATTTTTCGTGAAAACCAAAACCAACGATCTACCTTAGTCATAATACATATCACGGGGCAAGTCATGCCCGAGAACTGGCGATCAAAGTGCAAAAGCTCAAAACGACCGGTCGAGTCGTTACATCCTCCCCCACTTAAACACACGTTCGTCCTCGAACGTACCCAGAGCTGTTCTAAAAGCCAACCAATCGCTGAATAACCTTACCATGCATATACCCGGGGGGGGGGGGGGGTAT